CCCCAAAACCCCAAAACCCCAAAACCCCAAAACCCCGCTAATTTACTTAAGGATTGAAAATATTTAAAATCTACAGCAGGACTAGTAACTATGGACTTCGACGATAATTTATCAGAATTCGACAAAAACTCAAACCCTGATGACCAAGACGATGTTGGATTCGGACTTGATGCCAAAGAATTAAAGGAACTAGAATATACATCTGATGCAGTGATATTTGCAATCGATTGAAGAGAATCCATGTTTGAACCTAATGAGTATAATGAAGGAGGACTCAGTAACTTTGCTACAGTGATTAAAGCAGCAGCAGGATTCTTAAAATCCAAGATTATCTCTAGTGAATCAGATCAAACTGGTATTGTGCTCTATAATAGTGGCCAAACCCAAAACTCGATGAATTTTGAAGGAGTTTATATCATGAACTCCTTAGATAGACCAAATGCAGAAACTATTAAATTCTTAGAAACACTTATTGATACTAAGAATTTAAGATTTAAATCTAGCGAGAAGGAAATGCAACTCTCAGAACTCTTATGGACATGAGAAGAACAGTTTTCCAAACTTGGAGAAATCACAGGGCCAGAAGAAAAATCCAAGTCAAAGACAATGGATATTAACTCATTTTCGAAAAGGATCTTCCTTTTCACAAATGAGGAAAATCCAATGTCAGAGAATGCAAGGAATCAGGAAGAAGCTATCGAGAGAGGCCAAAAACTTACTGAAAAGGATATTGAAATTGAACTGTTCCCAATGAGTAACCCTCACGAAGAGAAGACAAAGTTTGATGTTGATTTATACTTTTCAAATATTGTTAATATGGAAGATAGTGACCTCGAAGATGCTTACCTGAGAATCCAAGACCTGAGTAAAAGAATTAGGCTAAAAGAATTCAAAAAGAGGGTCCTCGGCAAATGTATGTTCTCAATGACAAAGTCAATGAATGTTGGCCTGAAGTTCTACAACCTTACTAAGACTACTAAGAAACCTACCGCAAAATTTATTAACAAGAGCACAGGGAAGGAGTTAAAATCCTTAACCAAATATACATGAAAAGAGTCAGGGAAAACCTTATATAAGAGCCAAATTGGATCTCACTATCCAGTAAAGAAGCAAAAGGTTATGATAAGTGAGCTAGACATGAAGAAGATAAAGCACTTTGAGGCATCAGGCATGAAGTTGATTGGATTCAAACCTAAGGATAGCATCAAAATTTATCAGAATATTCGTCCTTCATACTTTATTTACCCAGATGAAAAAGTAATGAAAGGATCCTCTAAAACGTTCCATGCAATGATAGAGTCATTAATTAAGAAAAACAAAGTAGCTTACGTCAGATTCGTACCTAGGGAAGGAGCCATGGTAAGGTTCTGCTATCTAGTTCCTCAAAAAGAGAAGCGCCTGAAACAAGACTCAGACGAGTACAGTCCTCCTGGATTTCATCTTATCTTTATCCCATATGCTGAAGATATGAGGAATTTGGAAGAAGAGTTTACACACAAAGAAAAGCTAGCCGAAATCGACAAAGAAGACGGAAGGGCTGCTAAACTATTCGTCAAAAACATGACAGTAGACTTCAATTCCAGAAATTTTGAGAATCCAAGCATTCAAAAATTCTACTCAGGCCTCCAATCAATGGCTCTCGAGGAGAAACAGCCAGAAGAGATTCAAGACACTCTCGAACCTGATCGTGAAGGAATGAAAGCCATGCAAAAAGTAGTGGACCACATGAAAGATGTCTTCAAACTAGATGCTATCCCAAAAAGAGTTATTAAAGAAAAGAAGCCTAAAAGAAGTAAGCCAACAGCTAATTTTTAGAAAGAGAAGAAGACAAAGAGGACAGTAAAGAAGAGACCAAGCAAGAAGCTGAAGGCGAAGATGTACAAATGGAGATAGAGAATGGGAACGAATCCAATCAAGACTCTCCACCCAAGCCTAGTAGAGGCAAGAGAGTCAAGAAGGAGAACATGAATGACGAAAACATTGAGATCCCCAAGGTTTATAGTGACACCAAGATTAAAGAGATGATCAACTCAGATGAGATGATTAATTTAAGTGTCAAAGTTCTCCGTGAAGCATGACTTCAACGTAATATTCCTAAGATGATTCGTGCAACTAAAAGATCAATGATCAAGGCTTTAACTAAGTTCATAAAAGAGAAGGAATAATTCAACCTTGTCGAGAGTATTTGGGGTTTTGGGGTTTTGGGGTTTTGGGG